ATCTATCTATCTATCTATCTATCTATCTATCTATCTATCTATCTATCTATCTATCTATCTATTTTGCTCCAGGGGAACCCAGAAGCTCACGTGGGAAAAGGTCACATGACCTACCCTCTAAGAGGATTTTAAACAAGTTCCCCCATCCACCACCAAACAACTAGGATGCCCTGACCCTTCAAGTAGGATTACTCTAATCAGCTATTCACCATCTGTACTTCTACAATTTTCTTGAATTAACAAAATCATAAAGACCTTTTGTTCATTTTCCAAATAAGAGTAAGAAAAAGTCTAATATTTCACGTGTGTAAAATGCTTTTGATAATTATTTACCACAACTAACAGTGTCAACATGAATTTTTGTCTTTCTGCATCTCTTTTGATGCAGTCACTTGTGAAGAAAAGTCCATTTAGTCTGTTGCCTCTGTTGAATTCCCAATTAGTAATCCCAAACAAAACCAAACAGGAAGTGTATTTCCTCAAACACCCACCAGATGGTGCTGTACCTCAGGAGAAAAAAAACAATGTGTGAAGCAGCTATCAACTACTGCGACATGAGTAATTCTTAAATGCTCAAATAATACAAAGTTAACTTTAATTGTGATAGAAGACATATATCACCACGGAGTACACATAGTCATTTAAAAGTACAAGATTCAGCCTTATCCAGTCCAGGTTAAATCTCAGAGAGGAACGAGGACTTCAAAGCTACAGTGAGCAAAAACATGTGATAGAATAAAGACAGAAAATGTGTTATTGAGTTTGAAAAGGCCAGACTCTTTGTCTTTCTGCATCTCTTTTGATGCAATCTAGTCTGCTGACTGCTGAAAAAGGGTCCAGACTAATGGCTTTGTTGGCATTTCTGCTAATGCTTGACAGTAACATGGTTGTTGGCAGGCAGCCTGAGGAAGGCCAGTGACCTCAAGGGAGCTGCAGCGAAAGCCATCGTGATCTTAAAGTGACAGAAACTACGGTGTGTGTCCAATGTGTTTTCATGTAATTTATGTGCCATTACTCAGAGCAAGATGGTAAACATTGTCGCAGCACTGAAACCTAACACAACTGAGTGGCTGTAAAACCAGCTCTTACGACACCAACAACTGTTACAACAAGCCTGAATTAAATGAAAACACATTCATCAAACTTATGATGGGCTGGGGACCTTTCAAAGCAGTTTTGCAAACACAAAACTAGGAAGAATGATGGCAAACATATAAAGACAGAACCCCCATTTGCAGTGACTTATGTGTGAGGAGGAATATGTTGACATTATTGTAGCTCATCAAACGGTTTAGTACTTTTGGAGGGATGCAGAAAAAAATAATAGGTCTCGTCACTCATTAAACACAAAGAGAAAATATTTAGGCTTTGTCTGTACATTAGACTAAAACTCCAGAATTGATCCTGCATGATTAAACGTCAATGCCAGGCTCAGACTCTACACAATACAATTAAATAGCATAACAGCTTTTAAAAAACTGAAAAACTATACTGTTCAGATAACACATCTATAATAAATCTAAAAGTACAAAAATTGATTGCAATCTTTTTTTTAATAAACACAAATAAATTATTTTTAGGGCATTTACTGAAAAACGTAATTGCTTTTAAACAAATATTAAAATTTAAGACACTAACACTCCAAAAACACTTGAGAAATAAGCCAAGAAAGACTGAGAAATTAAAGCAATACAAGTAAAACTGTCTGGGAATATACTCCAAATAACTAGTGATAGGTGAGGATGTCAGGATTGGGTATAAGAGAAGAATCTATCAAAGTTTAAGAGGGAAGAATAAGAACAAAGTTACAGGAGACCTCCTGGGAATCCCACACTAGACCCTCACACTGCAGCACATGTCACACATGCTATTTGCCCTCACGAAATCTGTGATATAGCTTTTCATATTCTCTCACTTGTTCAGCCAGTGGATACCCAAAACAATCTGTAACCTCCACACCGGAGGAAAGGCAACATTTGCATTTTTTTCACAGAAAGCAAGAATACAATTCAGAGGAGATGATGCATCAGGAACAAGCTGAGAGAATAATGTGCAAACAGGCTGAAAGCCAGGATTGTTGGTGGCTCACTGTGTCGATCTGAATCATTGATCTGTTAGAGCATTTATTTGTACATGCAAGGTTGAAAAAAGTGGGATATTGTAACAATGAGCAAGATTAATTAAAAAATCAAAATGAATAATTAATCATCTATAGATTCAAGGAGTATGGAGAAAGTACAAATATATTGCTGATTGACTTTTAAGCTACCTAAAGGTACTGCATGAAAACCCATCCCGCCCTTGTGTTCAGTATCACTGTATGAAAAAATGGAAAGGTTTATAGGGAAACCTTTGAGAGACATTGTTCAATCAATTCTGTGAAGAAACATCCAACCAGGCTGATTAAAAAGAAAAATGAAAATCTGTGATGGTGTGGGTCCTATGATCAGCACATGTGTGAAGGCACCATTGATGCAGATGTGTAGTACTAAGCTATTTTGTGAGGCATATGTTTCTACCAAGACATCTGCAACT